TCCGCCAAGCACGTATTTCCATATTTCTCATATCTTGGTCTATGTTATCTAGGAATCTTGTTCTGGGTCTTCCTCTTCTTCTTTGACCAATAGGTCTATCAAGGAACGTTTTCTAGCTGGGTTGATTTGCTCCATCCGCATTACCGCTCCATAGATTCGCCTTAGTATTTTTCTTTCGAAACATCCTAACATGTTTTCATTGCTTTTTGTTAAAGTCCAGGTTTCTTAACCATATGTTAGGACTGGGCGTATTATTGTTTTGTACACCCCCTAGCGTTAACCCAGAAACTTGAAAAGGTATTTCCAGCGATTTCTCTTCGCCACTTTTACTAAGGAATTTTTTCTCCTAAAGTTATAATATGAATAGTTTCTGATATATAGCCGAGAGATCGGCTTATTGGACCACCCGATAAATTAATTCTATAATATAAATCAAAACATATTATTTCGCTAATTGTACTCTATAATATTAATTAGAAAAACGAACTTTAAAATTTACGTGTTGTCCCTATTTCATCGTTATACGTTCAGCAAGTGGTAATTTCTTGACTATGTATTTATAGTAAAATGTATACCTAAGCTTGATTGACGACTCGTAAAATGATACAGTCGAATAAATAATGTTTACTTTTTTACGTTGTGACAAAAATTCTGGGAATCCAGGTTGTGTTCATAATTTATATACAATTAATAAACGTACTCTATCATGAAGTAAAGTTTAATGTTTAGTTTGTGGGTACGCTTCTATCTATAACAAAAATTATACAAAAGTACTGAATTTAACGTTTAATTACACAGTTGATTCGAAATGAAAAAAAAACATTAATTGTTAATTTTATTTGTAACTTGTAATTTAGAATGTTTAAGTAACAAAAATAATATTAAATAAAGGTGGGATTGTTTGTTTCTTTTAAAATAAAGAAGCAGAAGTTACAAGATTTCGGTTTCAGAAACGTCAAAGAAACGTACGAGCACGTCAAACACAGCATAAAAAAGCGGTATTAGAAGCTTTGTGGAAACAGGAGAAAAGAAATACTCAACACAAAGTAAAAATAAACAAAGAAACCAAAAAATGTATTGAGGAGAAGAAAATTCTATATATGAAAAGTATGAGCACCCAATCCCCAGAAGACACACAGAAGTACAAAGATAAGAACAGAGAAGTAAAATGAAGAAGGGCAAAAGAAAAGAATGAAGAATGGGAAGAACTATGTGCACAAATTGAACAATACATAGAAGGAATTCGGAATCCTGGAAAATACTGAAATCTTTAAGGAAAAATAACAACGAAAACGTCCAAATACAATACATATCAGAAAAAGAGTAGGACGACTACTATAAAGAACTACTTACAGAAAACCGCCCAGATTTCATAAAGACAGACCCAGAACAGGAACAACAACAAAATCAGAATGAAGAACAGATTGAGATAACATTAATCGAAGTAAAAATTGCCATAAAGACTTTAAAGCACAAAAAATCAGGGCGATCAGGAGGAATCGTTAATGAACTAATTAAGTACGGAATGGACAAACTACCCAGAATTATACAAGTAATGTTCAGTAACGCTATAAACCTGAACGAAATACCAGATGAATAGTCCAAAGTATATATAACCTCGATACATAAAAAGGGAGATAAGAAGAAATGCGGGAACTACAGAGGCATCAGTGTGATAACATGTATGGGCAGGTTATATGGAGAAATACTGAAAGAAAAACTGGACAAATGTATCTCAAATAAAATCGGAGAAGATCAGGAGGGGTTCACGGCAGGATGATCTTGCATAGACCACATATATACACTCCAACAATTAATTGAAAAAAAAAATGACAAAAATTAGACCAGTACACATGGAATTCATAGATTTAAAAAAGGCATATGACACGGTTTCCAGAAAACAACTATGGAACACGATGAAGAAATCGAAATAACTCTTGGGTTAATAGAAGCCGTAAAAAACCTTTACAACAATAACATGGTAAGAGTTAAAACCGGCAATAAATACTCCAACGAATTTAAGACCACAAAAGGGATGCTCTGTTCAAGATATTCCTCGAACAAATATTAAAACCATGGAAAAGAAAATGTGAAGGGATGGAAATACCAATCCGGGACAACTTCTTGTACACATTAAGCTTTGCAGATGACCAAGTGGTAACGGCTCAAGATGAAGAAGATCTGTGCTATATACTCCGAAAATTAGAAAAGAAATACATAAAACATGGACTGGAAATAAACTTAGAACAGAGCAAAAACCAATGAGAAACTTGGAAATGGACGATGATAGGAAAATTAACGGCACTGAAAAATTCAAATATTTAGGATTCATACTCTCAAAAAATGGAACCACCGAGCAAGAGATAACCAGCAGATTAGCACAGACAAGAACATGTATTAAACAAATGAACAGGGTACTGTGAGATAGACAGATTACCAAAAATACAAAGAAGAGAATTTATAACACCTTGGTACACAGTATGATGACCTATGGAGCAGAGAATTGGGTAATAAATAAACGAAACAGGTCCAAAATCACAGCAACTGAAGTGGAGGGTATGAGAAGAAACTGAAGAGTAAGAAAATAGATCGCATCAGAAATGAGGAAATAAAACGAAGAATGGCAGTAGAACACGATATCCTCAGCTACATCGAAGAAAAACGTTTAATTTGGTATGGATATGTGAGAAGAACAGATCATACAAGGTGGATAGCAAAGATTTCGGATTAGAGCCCAATAGGAAGGAGCAAAAGAGGTACACCCCGAAGATCAAGGAGGAATGAAGTGGACGAGACCATGAAAAGATGAGACCTTAGAGATTTAGAATGGTAGAACAGAAATGTCTGGAGACGTTTTTAAAAAGAAGGAAGGCGGCAACAGCTGTAAAAATCCTTATATAGATATCCTTATCTGATAGATAGATAGAATAAAATGTCATCAACTCGTTCCATTCCTACATTATCTTAATCTGTTCGGTGTTACTTTGTTATTATAAGGAAGAAGAGTGACCAAAAAGAAAAATAAAATCGAAATTAATTTATTTATTACACTTAAAAAAATAACGGAATATACTTATTAAATACAATAAGGCAAATAACAAGTCAGTAATAGAAGCAGACAGTAACTATTTATTTGTTTTCATGTACTTATTTTGGATAAAGACTTTAATTTTTAGCCATTTCTTTAGCCAACACTCTTTTTCTTTGGTCACTTTTTTCTTTAATTTGAGCTTTAAAGTAATCACATACGACTATTTTTTGGTCTTCTGTCCAAGGGGTGAGCACTCTTCTCTTTTTTTCAGATTTTATGTTACTTTTATTAATCGATTTCTCTTTGTTAGTTTCGTGGTCTGAGAATTCTTGAATTTCTTCGCGTTCCAAAATTTTGTTTTATCATCGTATTATCATCCGAGTTTTTTTCCAGTAAATCTTTTTCTAAGTTCAAATTGATTTCATCTAATGATTTTTCTTTGAATTGTCCTGCTTGTCCTTTTTTCATTGATATCAAAAGCTTAGAAATTTTGGCAGTTTGGTAAAGCCTGTTTGGGTAGCTTGCAAGACTTCCTATGTACTCCTAATGTATGTCCCATGAAAGAGGCCAGTTGTTCCATATCGTTTTCTGTCATACAGAACAACTGTGTTAAAGTTGCTAAATGTTTTCTAAGCTTAGTTGAAGTAAGTGCATCAGGATTCTGAGCACCACACTCGGTAGCAAACCTGCTTTATAGCCCCGTATTTGTTCGTCTGAGTTTGGGATAGCAAATAAATAAATATTCGGTTTCTTTAAAATGCTGTTTCTACATTTTAAAATTAAATCCAAGTATTTCTTCAATTCTTTATTAAACAGTACTGGAATTCCACGACCTCTCTTGCCTCTTATAACAATTCGTTTAAAATTATTCATTCAAACTTTTTAGTATCAGAAAATGCTTCTGAAAATTCTTCATACCCTTGAGGATTTTCGTTTTGCAAAGGTGAACTGTAAGTTTGCACTAGAAGTCGTTGCAACTCACCAGGTCGTCGCCTGTTTAATAACGTTAAACGTCAATACACAGTATCCAACAAAGCTAAATAGGCATCTTCGTCATCGTTTGATTCCAATAACTTTAAGACAACCATCTTCGATTTTTCAATTAAATAATTTTTAAGTAATTTTGTAGCAAGCGGCATTAAAGTTATCTTATTCCATTTTTTTAAACTTAAATCACTAGAAGCCTGACTTGATACATCAAACTTCCAGTTTGCTTCAGTTATTTTCATCAATGTTTTTAAGTTAGTTTCAATACTGGCCAAATTTACAGTTTGTAACAAATCCGACTTCTTTAAAGTGTGCAATAGTGCTATATCAAAACACGGTTTAAATGTCTAAATTTAAATGTTTAAATGTGCCCATATTTAGAGCGTATGTAGGAGCTTCATATATTTTTTTTCAGAGTCATATTTGGCAACAAATTTAGCAGCGTCCACCAACACATCATAATATTCTGGTTTTAAAGAGTTAATATGATGTATTTAACACATGGTTTTATTTTTCGTATCTCAATAAGAAGTCGCGCTAGTTCTCGCATTTTTCTTCATGTAAACGAAATAAAATGTTTTTCGCCGTGGATTTTCAGGTAATATCTCGCAGCATATGCACATATAAGTGCATCCTTTTTAGCCTCAAGAGATATATAATCACCTCTCATTCGTGAAAATACTTTTAACTTCAATTGAGAATCCACTCTAAGATGACGCAGAAAGAAATTTTGAGAATCACTTAATGCATTTTTCGAAGTGGCTGCCTTAGATACATTCTGCTCGCAGTTTTTGCGATGTCGCCACATATTTTTAGTAGAATAATATCCTAAACAATAAGTACAGGCTGCATAATTAGAGAATTGATCTCATTTTCTTACTGGTTTGTTCTCAATATTGCTATTAAGATAGTTTCCTTTCTTTCTTAGTGAAAACAATAATTTTTGTTTGTTTTTGTTTCGTGGAGAAAGTACTAAAATTTTTTAAACCGCCCATTCTGTTATATGGTTAGGTGTCAGATGTCGCGGAAAATTAAGGACGTAACATTCACAGTAGCAAGAAAAAATAGTTTTGTTGAACTGTTTTTTGTTTTCAGTCATACTTTGGCAATCTACAGGAAAACTTTGATTTATTTTGGCGGATATCTCTTTTTGTTGAACTTCTGTATGTAAATTTTCAGGTGAAGAAAGTGGCGAAGAAAATATTACAGAGGAAATATCCTAAAAAAGTATTGATCAATATTTATAGAAACTTACTACTAAAATACTTACTGAGATTTCGCTGTCACAAGGAGAATAATTAGGATCGTCGTCAATAAAAGTTTGTTCGCCAGATAGCGTATAACTTGAATCTGCTAAATCAGTGTCGAAGACCATTTCTCCATCTGATAAAGAACATTTAGGATCTCCTAGATTGTTGTTAACGACAGTTGCTTCAGGTAAAGAAGGTGGTGAACAAAATATTATAGGAGAGGTATTCTAAAAAGTATTGATTAATATTTGTAGGGATTTACTAATAAGATACTTACTGAGATATCGCTCTCAAAAGAAGAATAATTAGGATCTGCTAGGTCGTCGTCAATACAACTTTGTTCGCCAAATAGCGTATAATTTGAATGTGCTAAGCGGGTGTCGAAGACTATTTCTTCATCCGATAAAGAACATTGAGGATCCCTTAGATTGTTGGTAACGACAGTTGCTTCTTTTGAAGCAAATTCCAATCCTGAAGTTATAATACGTTACAATTATTGGAAATAATTAATTACTTTGTTAATTTTAAGTTTGTTTAAAAATTTGCAAAATATATTTAAGGTATATAAAGTGTTCTGTCTTTTTATAGCATAACTAGTGTGACCAACTAATCCGAAGAATCCGAGACATGGTCCGAATTACAAAGTTGTGTCCCGGTGTCCTGGAAAAGGCTTCCGGGCCATCCGAAATTTTCAACGTTTTGGTAAAATTCTATTTTGAAATTTTGAATTCTTGCAAGAATTCACATCAAACTGAATTGGTGAGATGAAAAAAGTCGACAATATCTAGAGTGTAGGATACTAATATCACAATCAAAACGTATTCATTTTATAACTGTGGCTTTTTTTCGTTTCTATATTTTAATTATCTTCTCGTGTAAACACGATTCAAAAACAAAACCAATTCATGTGCATACATGAATCAGCTGCCCGAGAAAAATACATGTAAATCTAACATCGGTTGATTTTCTTACTTTTTCTTTTTTGTGAACGATTTCCGGATTGGAAGTCGAAATGTCAAAAAACATCAAAAATGTAATTATCATTACAACCAATTGTGGCTTAATCCCATGAAAAATATCACTGTCGACATAAAAATGTTAAATGTTAATGATGCTAATTGCTATTTAAATGGAAATAAGCCACAATTAAAGGTTAAAATACGTTTATTGACGTTTCCATTTCCACTTCGAAAATCGTTCTCAAAATACAAACATTAGTAAATTAAACAAATTTTGTTTTTTTTTTGTTACTTCATTCACAGTGAAACATTCTTCTAACAATTTAATTTTATCTGACTCATTTATATTGACAATTCAGACATACATTATACATTTTAAAGTAGACGACTTTAAAATCATATTGCCAATATTATTGAGTTGCGCTCCTGGAACGACTTTACTTATAAGATAGTTCATTCGATTACATGAAAACAACTTTAACTTGAGAATAGTCGTCAGAAAAAATCATAGCATGTAATTCGTCTTTAAAAAGACAAACACATGCCATGATGACAGTAAAATTCTCCTGTTAGTGATTCCAAAGTAAATTATGAGGGAAAAACCAGGAAAAAACCTCATAATACTATCCCGACATGGTAAGTATTTGATCGTGCATTTAGTTTACTATCAATAAACACCAAATTCTGATTTTACATGTTTGTTATTTAGAAAACATAAATGATATATCCTCCATATGTTACTGACTTACTAATACTGGTATTTTCTTTTTAATAACTTCCTCTTTCAATATGGGTAACCAGATCCTACTGCATTCTGCCGAGAAATTTGCGACACAATAGGTGTCATTTAGCATAATTAGAGCCGCTTCTTTGATTTTTCTTTTTTTACCATCCGCTTCTTTTAGGACTATATTTGAATCATTCCATTGAACCCTATGTTCATTATCCCATGCATGTTTACATATTTGATATCTATTTTTAATATAAGACTGATGTTCACTTCATGCATTCAAATACACTGATGTATTTTATAAATGCAATTCCTGGGTTTTGGACAAAACAGATCTCTGCCTTTTCTTTCCTGTGTATTTCGTTCCTTAATGGCTGTATCTAATTTTCCGTTCTGAGTGATCTTCACTCCTAGGTATTTGTAGTTAGTTTGATCTCTTGATTTTCCTCTACGACAAGGTTATGTTGTTTCTTCCATATTCACATCCAAACCCCACTTTGTAAACTCTTCTAATAGTTTTCGCATCATTTCACTAAAGTCTTGAGAGTCCTGTGCGATGATGACCTGGTTATCCACAAAGCACAGAGTGTACAAAGTTAAGTCCATTATTGGTATGCCCATATTCGTACATTTTTTCTTCCATTTGTTGAGTGCTGCTTCGAGGTATATTTTGAATAAATTTGGGGATATACAGCATCCTTGTCTTAGTCCTTTAGTCACTTTGAATTCCGGTGTTATCAGATTTCCTGTTTTAATTCTTGTTGTTTGTTGGTAGTACAACGTTTTTACCGCTTCAATCAATTCTATATTTATATTTGTTTTTTTTTCACTCTGCATATTATAGAGATCTTTCAAGCAATATACTCAAATCAAAAAGTATGTATACTGACTCCTTTTGAGAGGCAACTTATAGCTGATTTCCGAAAGGAGGAGATGAATGAATAAAACATACCTAGAGACCCTCTAGCAACGGAGTAAAAGCAACTCGAAAACTATAGTCACTATCAAAATCTACAAATTACACACCGGGTAGGACAAGCTATTTATCCGAGATAATTTTACCTCCCCTTATCACTTTGAGGCTGCAGTGATCCAGATGTTCTGTACGTCTGTAGGACCAAGACCTGTGAAGTGCCTGGTTCGACCAGGTCTGCCACTTCCAAGCGGTCTGTGACTTGCTCACGAACCGCGGCAATAATGTCAAACCCCTATGCCCCCTCATCACTGACAATTCCGAGGATAATATTCCAGATAATTCGTACAATTACCAAGGAATTCTTAATCTCCACACGAAAATGATCGGCGTACAAGCCCGTTTTAATATAAAATGGAACAAAATCGACCGCAATGACTCGCAATGCAGACAGCGTTTCTTTATATGTCTAAACAGTGGCCAAAACCATAAAGCAAGCATTTACCCCACTCCAATCTCCCAAAATGCTTAAATTGCAGTGATGACCACCCTGCATACTCAAATGGCTGTCCAAAAAGATAGGAAATCTTAAATAATCCGACCGAAAAAAAAATCAATTCCCCCATTTGACCTCACAACGGATATCAAAAACATAATTACACTCAATACCGTATCGTATTGTTAAATATCCTTCCAGAATGACGGAATCTAATTACAGCAGCTACCAGCAACGTCATAGAAAAATCTTCAGCCACACGTGTGTCCTGTCTGGCCAGAACGATAAGGTCAAAATGACCTTCTATCTCATTTATTAAAAAACTTCTTTATGGATTTCACTCTAGGTGCAGTAAATTGCCAGAGACTCACCAAAAAGAGCCCATTACCGTCACTGTAAGTTTACACGGACCCAAAATTTGCAGGATACACCATAATCTATCGAAACCGTTGTCAAGTTTCCCTCGGAAACGGTATTCTTATTAAACATGGTATATTACATTCTAAGTACAAGTTCCTTCAAAATTTCCAGCCTCCTGTAGTGGACATCCTGGCAGTTGACCTGCACATACTAAACAATCAAACCCTCACAATCATCTCTTATTACAGACAACCATCCACCAGCTTTTGCATCAAACTCTTAGAGTACTTCGCAACTCTAAACATAGTCATTCTCATGGAGGAACTGAACTGTAGAAGTACCCAATTCGGTGATCATGCAAACAACCAGAAAAGTATCCAACTAACAAAAATACTTTTAGATTTTCCCATAATAAGAATCACCAATACTGGATATACGTATTTGAACGCAAACCCTGATGACATTCTCGTTACTGGTAGCTTGATGCATATATTCGATGATCGATGCCACATAGGCGCCTTAGATACGCCCGATTATCTCCAATTTCTTGTCAACACACACATATGATCACTCAAAACTTGAGACAAATCAGAGATTATCTCAACGCAAACTAGTCCATCTTCCAACATACCATTACAAATAATATTCCAGAGTTGAAGTTGGTGAACTTGAAACTAATGAAAGTATCAATACGAGTGCAATCCCAATCGAAAGTCTCATTTCCGGATCTGTCAATCACTGAATTACAATGAAAACATTACACTATTCTTCTTCAACACTCCCAAATAGATTATTCCCAAAATAGAACAAAAAATACGGCTGTTACGTATGTGTAAGGTTAACAGAAACTCTTCTTTTTATCTATTAGAAACTCTATCATTAAGACAGAATATAACGTATCTCTACTAAAATTACGAGGAAAATATCTATCCCGCAGGCTTGCCGGTAGGAAGATACTACCTCAAAACTAGACTACAGAGAAGGGTAAATTCTGGAACAAACCCAGTTCTAACAAATCAAAAACAAACGTAATATTCTCATCTGTTGGTCGGAAATATAATAGTCAGCTCCCTAGAGAGTAAAGCCAAAGCATTAAACAACTAGCTTCAAGACAACTTTCAAACGCCAGAAAATTCAAACTTTGATCTCATATTTACCCTCAAGACAAAATACATATTTACATTTCATAACACAGGCCATGATCCGATAATTGTACCCCTTATCGACAGTAAAACGGAGAGTTATTGCCAAATAGGCAAAAATACCCAAAATAGAACCCAAAAATATCAGTAGACGATGCCTTAAAGAACTTCCTTAGAGTATTATTCCTCTTCTAACAAAAACTATCAATGTATGTAATCAATGTATGTAATCTATGTAATCAATGTAATCAATGTATGTCTTAAAAACAGTCACTTTCTTACTTCTTGGAAAGTGGCTAACACTATAATGTTACCCAAATTGGGTAAACCCCGTACCGATGTGGAATCCTACAGACCCCTATCAGACACTAGGGAAGGTTCTTAAGTATATCCTTAGGGAGAAAATAAATGATTTTCTTGAAACTCACCTCATCCCCAAAATTTAATATAAATTCCAATCCAGTAAATCTACACAAAATGCATTGACAGACTTCACAACCAAAGTCACCCAAGCCATTAACGATAACAGTAGACAAATTGCGACCTGAGCCGTTTGTTTTTGATGGTTCTCGTATTTCTGGAGAACAAGATACTGGTACATCACGAGTAAGGAGAGTAAGCAGATTGGGACTCCTAACTCGAACGGAACCATATCCCACCTAATAACAGAGGATAAGGGGGATAAAACAACGCATTTTAAATTCTCAACGTAGTTCTTCCCACGTGGAGAACTTAAGGTCGATTCAGACACATCAGTCACGTCTCGTCACAGTGATTGCGCCGAACCGAATAATCCGTCATACAAAATATTCTTTAATACAAATATGTTGCCGGCATTCACACTCATCAGTTGACAAACAGTTTCCCAGCTGTCAGATAGTTGATAGTTCTGTGACCAAACAGGACCGGTTCGGCGCCGAGACTATGACGGGACTGATGTGTCTGAATCGACCTTTAGTAAGGATGATTTAGAATGCACTTGTAATAGTATTAATATCATTTTATTTATACTGTATATAATTGTGGATCCTACAAGCAAAGGGGTATGTGACATTTATGTAAATATTGAGATAACTGAATAGCCGAACTGGAAATATTTCATTCTATTTGGAGGTAAAGAAATCTAAGCGATAAGTCTTACAGGTGGTGCGTTCTAGCGGAAAGTTACTCAACCTTCAAGCCAACTACGAGTAGGACTTGGAAGAGAAGAGGTACAAGTGCACTTGTACCCCTGTTCCACTGTGTCAGAATGTTAGTTCAGTTTGCTATCAATTTGGATGGATAGTAATATTATAGCTTTTTTAAAGCAATATTAATTTTTTGTTATCAAACTACAGTTTTTTTAAGTTTTTAAGAAGAGTTTGTTTTTTTTTTAAGGTTGAAAGGACATGGATGTATGTAAACTAAAAACTGAACGTAAGTTAAAAAAGTCCCCTCAGGCGTGGCATGCATAGATAAAAGACGAAAGCGATCACCCCCGAACAAAATTTCTGAAAGGGCGATTAAAATCATAAAAGAGCATAGTAATAAATTCCCTATGTACAGAAGCCACTACACTAGAAATAAGACTTCAAATAGGAGGTATCTTCCTCAGGAATGTCAATTTGAAAATAATGTACAAACTTTATTGTGATTTCTGTAAGGAGGAAAAACAACAAGAACCTGTAAAAAACAGCTTTTACAGAAATATTTTTAATACTCAGTTCAACCTAGTGTCAAAAGTCCAAGTACAGACACCTGTGACAAATTTCCGATAACAATAAATCACGGTTTGGCAGAAGAAAAAGCTTTAGCTCAGAGAGAAAAAGACTTACACTTGAGTACGGCGGAAGTCACAAGAACAGCAAAAGATGAGTGTCATGAGCTAAATGATGCTAGCAAAAGTGGGATCATCCTCGACTGAAACGACCCATTTCCTTATGTGGCACGAAGGTCAGGCGTCACGTGGATGTCAGGAAATATCTTGTCTCCTAAAATATATAGAAGCCTCCCCCATCTGTTCTACTATGGCACAAAACGTCGATGATCATCTGCACAACCTCTATGAAGAAATTCCCTGTGTAGGTGTATTAGCTCAGTACGAAAGGCCTTCAGATGCCAATCCTGGACCCTACGTGTCAAGTTTAAAGATTGACGCAAATAATAGGGTAAAGCAAAACCTATTAGGTTACCGCCCCTAGGCATACGCCGCCCAAAAGCTAAAAATATAGCTTTTTCTAATGGAGTAGGACCTGCTGAATTCCAGTGCTACTCATCCAATACTGGCTTCAACTTCGACTTTCTGAATTTCCAACATATTAAGCATAACCAAGACGTTTAAAACATCTGACGTCATGTTCAGTACTCTGAGTGAAACAGATGCTATATCGCAAACCGTGATACCTCGTCCCTTACTTCAGGCCCAGCATCAAAACGTTAAAAGTGAGACGCGCTCTACCTCTTTAACTCAAGAGGATCCAGCTCAATAATCCCCAACTTCGAACTAATCAAGACTAGAGGAGTTAACAATGTAGGCACCATTTGGTGCTGCATCGGTTTTGCATTTAGTGACAATTGTGGAGTCCAAAACAAGAGTCATCTGACAGTCACATTTTGGCTCTACATTGTAAGAAATAACAATATTCAAACAGTAGATTATCGCTTGTTTATAAGTGGCCATTCTTATAATGAGTGTAACCAAAACTTTGGTTTGATAGAGTTAAACAAGAAAAGAACAAAAAAGGACCTGTATGTACATCACATTAGATGGAGCTGGTCACTTTCTACAAGTAGAAAGTTCTTTAGAGTACAGATAAAAAACGACGATTTTTTAGACTTCCAAATACTTACATTATACTTCAAGAAGAGTGTAAACATTGTCAGCTGGACAAATTTTCACCCAGTTTTAGAAGAAAATAGCTGGAGGTAGCATGGAAAAGTTTAGTGAGCTATCTATGAGACTCACTAGAGCTAGCAAAATTCTGTCCTGCCAGATCTCTTGCCAGTACCGATTAACATAAGGCCTTTCATTAAGCAAGCTACATATTCAAATCTTTACCAGTTACTCACAACTCAGAAGAAGCAGAAGTCGAATATGACGATTTGGATCAACATTACGACACTGATATTTACGAATCATAAGTCGACTATGTATTAGTGTTATGATGAAGAATAAATTTGTATAAAATCTTTCTGATTTATTTACATTTTTACCTTTATGTTGCATTTCTTAGAAGTAAAGGGGTACAAGTACTACTTAGCAACCTAAATGTAGCTCCAAAATCAGTAATTTTTGTTACAAATAATAATAATAATGCCTACAGTTACCAAACTAGAGAAGAAAAACTAGCTTTAAATAATCATGGCAATTATAATGAAGGCTCAACTTTGAACGGCGTTTACTCAACATTTACTTTTTGTCACATATACCCCTTTATTTCTACGGTCCTCAATTAGCAATAAATGTAACACATTTACCAAAAAATCTAAATTGTATACTTCGTAAACAGTTTACCTTGTCATCGTATTATTATTAAAATAAAAAAAATCTGTGTAAATTCATACTGTTATTTTTTTTATTGTGCACAGAAATTAACTAAATAATCTTATCTGTTAATAACATCTATGCAAATATCTAGCGGATCTATTATATTTAACTGTTTAAACAATGACAACGGACGCTGATGGCAAGCAGTCGTCGACCAGGTGAGAAGACATGTGTAAGGTGATTTATTACCTGGTTTTAATAATTTATTTAAGGTAAGCGATAACTGAATCTTAACTTTTCGAAAAAAAAAACAATAAAATTTGTTAGAGTGTAAGCCAAAATAAATTGAAAATATCTTAAAGGGATTTTGGTTAACATGACACGTCTTAATTCCTGATGGCTTTAAATCTTTATTTTATTTCTTAAACTCTTATCCAACTTATATTTATTAATTTTTGTTGTTTATTTTTTCACGCATGATTCAAATTGTAAAAATTTTCTCGAGGTCTTCTTTTTGTACCATATCTGAATTACCGATATTGGTGAGAACTAGAGATAAGAAAATATGTACAAAAAGACACTGCATTTTATGCTCTAAAAAAGGTTAAAATATGCTTGCAACACGAACTTAAAAAGTAACCAAATATGCCTTTATTATATGCAATATGCATTTATATATGCACTTTAAAAAATATTTTTTAATTTTTAGGGCTAGAAATTTGGTGAGAAATAAAATTATAGTATTTATTAACTAGTAACTTAGAGTGTTTATTTATTACTACATTTAATAAAAAATATAAATGAAAATTCACAAGAAAATGACCTCGTTCTGGCTGTTACAGTATGTAATCATAAAATGTTCAATATTTTCAAGAGTAATGTTATGCCTTCTATCAGTTAATATGTGTTTATATGAGGAAAACGATCTTTCAACATCACAGGATGTAATTGGCACAAATCTAAAATTTGACACTAGCGAGGGATCCATATTAATAACTTCGTTAAAGCTTCCATTGATTATGTTATTTATTGATCGCAATAAAGAAAAGCCTTCATTCCGGTTTAAAACTTCACTACATTTATCTCAATTTTTTTTTAATTATCTCTGAAAGGTTTACTATTCTTTCTTTGATAGAATCAACAATGCAAATACTATCATTTAAAGATAATTTTTGACTCTCTAGTTTTGTAATAGAGTTTACAATTATGTCAAAATTTGCTTTTATATGTGACAGTTCATTGTGAACAGAATTCTCACTAAAAAAATTTTGACATTTCTGTACAGCAATACAACAAGAAGGATCAAAATTTGATATGACATTTTTGATATTAATATAATTATTTGAAAGAAATATGGCACTATTCAACCACGTCCCCCATCTAGTCAACACTGGTTCCGGTGGCAAAGGGATATCGGGAAGCGTCTTCCTATATACTTCTACTCGCAATGGTGCTTTTAAAAATACTTTCTTTACATTGGTGATTAAAGTATTTACATTTGGAAACTCGAGTCTAACTTTTTCTGCCACCCTGTTTAAGCCATGCGCTAAGCATGTACAATGAATCAAACTCGGAAAAAAATCTTAAGACTA